CAGAAAATGGTAGTCCATCTCTACTCTTATCTTCCTTACAGCCTTTATCTTCGCGAGATAGACATCGCTACGACGAAGAGACACAGCACAGTCAAGAGAGAGCATCGATGAAAGAGTGTATCTTACGAGAAGACGCAAATATGTGTGGCGCAGCCGCAACCACTTATAGCCGCCAGATGACAAAGCCTTGGCATCCTGCGAAGCAATTAAAAGTCGTGGTATTACATACTATTTCGGTCACGGTAGTACCTTGTCTACCTCATTCTCGGGTGCTATTGTTCTATTGAACTAATTGTGGGAGACGTACTTGCACAGAAAGCAAGTGCTTTTAACTAGTGCTTTGTCCTATAATCTCACCCACCCGCTTCAAGCTGAAGTCCATAGCAACTTGTAATTAACTTCTACGCGGTGAAGTAGACTGGAAAGCGAAATGCATGGTAATCTGCTGATGCAGGATGAGGCGGATGAGAAAGAACTGTGTCATTGTCTCTTTGATTTTTGAAATTTCCTATGCAATGTAAGGTCAAGCGCTTCTTCTTCTTCTTCTTTAGCGTTTGTCCCGCTTGTTGGCAGGGTCCGCTTTTCTGATATGTTGACGCCACTTTTCCCGATTGAATGCTTGATCGGAGATGGATACCAGCTAACTTTGAGTCCATATGCAACCGTAGCATTATCTCGCGACTCATATGGCGACATTGACATTTGTGATGTGACGTGGGTGTTCGTAGGCCGGCCTGTCACGGGGGCCTGTCGCCTGCATTCGAATGTCCGTGGTCAGCTCAGCTCACAAAAGTGAGCAGTTCCCAGTGGCACCACTTGGAGGAACGGACACCACCACGAATGTAAAGTCAAGCGCTGTCGGAGAAAAATGCCCCAAGCCTCGGTTCCATTCTTTTACCCACGTACCTTCAAAAACACTCAGTACTGAGAGATGAGCAGCTACAACTTTTGAGCAGGAGTTTCGAGTTCAGGACAATTTACCATGCGAGCTGGCAGCCAGTCAGTGCGCCTTCGACCACCGTAGACCATCGTTGCAATCCGCAAAAACCGACTTCAACGAGCGTTCTCTTTATCGGCGTCTGGAATAAATGTAGAGCGCTTTGGTGGAAGTAAATCGTCGATACCGAGATGGTCCATACTGAGCTCCACACGATGCAGCTTGAATATTTCGGCGCATCAATTTTGAAAAGAAAACTAGCGATGCGTCAAAGTTCACACCCTTCACGACATAGTGTGTCCTCGCGTCAAATTGGCCTTTGACCACCATTTTGGAGTAGAGAGCGCTCCTCTACCCGGCGCATTCACCCAACATAACTTCATTTGTAGTCGAAAAGAAAAGCTGAGTTGGAATGAAATGGTGCCCCGGTAGCGTAACTGGTAGCGCACTTGCCCGGAAAGCGAGAGGTGCGGGTTCTAGTCCCGCCTGGGGCGAAAGTTTTGTTCACAACCCAGCATTCTTGTGAAACTTCCTTGTCTTCATTTATTTGATTCCTCGAGAACTATGTCTAGAGGGGAACACCTAAATTTCCGCTACGATTTCGAGTTCAAGCTGAAATTAAGCTTTGACTCCCAGTAAGCCTGAACTCTAGTCCCAGAACATGTGGTCCTCTCTGAATGACAAGCTTTTTTGACAAAACAGTACGGACCTCGCGGTTTCCTTACAAATGAGAATTCAAAATATTAGGTGGATTCTGAAGTGTGAAACTTGTAGGTCCCTCCCACTTCTTATAAACATAAAGGGGCCCGTTATGGGGAAATGTGAGTGAGGGGTCCAGACATTTTTCAACTATTGAAGGCATTAAGAACTTTCCTATAACCATTCAGGTACTACATTCCAAGTTCAATACTTGACTACTATTCAACCATCATGGAAATTTTCTTCGAAGGCCGTTTGTTCCATGAAATTGCACTCAAGAAGTTCTTTACTACCATACCATCCAAAGAGTAAGTTTGTCCGCAATCAGGAATTGTTGTGTGGAAGGCTGGAACTCATTAAGTGTATCTTACGTCGAAGTAGCGCAAAAAAATGTGTTCAAAAGTTGTACGTACTACAAAAGTCATCTGGCCCATACCGATATTAAAGGCATGCCCCAGGAGTCAAATTGGTGTGGTTCTTGCACACGAATGCGAATGTATTGGTGCGAAATGGGCCGGCAGTAAAGAAAAAAGGGAATCCGTCGAAAACGCTTAGGTTAAGGGCTCACTCACCTTCCTAATCGGCTGTGCTAAGGAATGAGAGACTAAGCGCGGAGAGGAGAGTATGAGGCGAGAGAGCGCAACAGATGAGAGGGCGCCAGACAACAGCCTGATAAGAAAAAATTGCAGCTGCTGCAGCTTACTTTGCAAGGCCCTAGCGCTCTTTTCGGGTGATTTCCGTGCACGGGAATGCCACATTTGTGATTGCCTTTAAGTGTCATCCTACAGACCGAAAAGAATCGTTCACACGACTTCTGCCTGGGTTATGCCTTGGAATAGGCTTCAACACCTTATAGTACATGACCTCCAGCATTTTTGAAGCGAAATGGGCTGGAAATTTCGTAGTTGTGTCCTAAAGTCGACACGGACCAAATACATTTCTCCCTCAAAAAATCGCGTTTGAGTCAAATGAGAACACTTCACACCGGTCCTCCACCCTTCACGGCAGGACCAATTCTAAAGATTCAAGTAGTGAGTGCGTACGTGTAGAGTTAAAGTCCATGGAATGCATCCGTACACGCGACAAATACGACGTTCTGACTTTATCTCCCAACAAAACAAGGTATCACCCCAGGTGTCGCGCCTTTGTCGTCGGCGACATGGCGTATCCTCAGACGACCGACCAAGATTGGCGCCTGACGTGAACGTCGTCGAATTACTATGGTATTATTAGACGTAACTCGTTTGGCAATTGAGGAAACTAAGAATATCGATCAAGAATTTACGCAGTTTAAGCCAAAGCTCACAGAAATGTGAGCAATCCATGAGAGCTGACTTGAGTTATAACCGAAAATCGAAACTACGTGATTTATTTTTGCTGTCCCGTACCGATTAGGCGACCCAAGATATGAAATGTTTATTATTTTCTAGTTTATATGGGAAGTTTGATTAGATTTGGATCTTTATAGTGTATCGTCATGCTTATAGCGACCGCGTTAGTTCCGCAAATAAATCCTTTGAAAAAAATTCTTGAATTCAGAGCAGACCCCAGTCGAGTCGATCAATTGTATGGCAAAGGTGGACGTGGTGCATGGCATCAGAACTACAACGCAAATCTTCTCATGATGCATCCAATCAAATTCAGTTATCTTGGTGATCACAAAACACGACAAATGTAGGTTAAAAGAGATATTCATGAAAAATATCAGATTTCCTGGTCCGTTTTTAGAAGCAAACTCCGATTAAAATCTAGCTTATGGAGGTGTGTTATACTGCTTTGCATAGCTATTGATTTATCTAAACTCGAATTATCTGATATCTTAGACGAAGTCCCTGCATAGGAAATGCGCTTGTAAACTGCGTATTTGCATAAAAATACCAATTTTTGATTAGAAAACGCAGGAATTTTTCTTTCATTTTTTATTACTATAACTTCATGTTTTCCTGTTGCTTTCACCTATGCTTACGGAATCGTTCTATTGCTGTAACGTGCACTTCACATGAATGAATGAAGAACAACATCCACAGTAAGCTGGGCTTCACAGCAGATCCAGCTGCTTGAGCAACAACCAATCAGTGGCCGTAGAAAAGATCTGAAGGAGCCAATAACCATGAATTCACGTTTTCTGACCTCCACCTACTAAGAGAAGGATTCCGACAGTTTCACAAGACTGCTGGGTTGTGAACAAAACTTTCGCCCCAGGACGGGACTCGAACCCGCACCTCTCGCTTTCCGGGCAAGTGCGCTACCAGTTACGCTACCGGGGCACCATTTCATTCCAACTCAGCTTTTCATGGTATACTTACCATAGCTTGTCAGCACTCACACGTATAACATGTTTTCTGACAAACTATGGTAAGTGTACCATGAAAGGTATGGTAAGTGTACCATGGTGCGGGTTCGAGTCCCGCTTGGGGCGAAAGTTTTGTTCACAACCCAGCATTCTTGTGAAACATTCGCAAGGCGAACTGCGGCCAAAAACAGCAGTTAACAACAAAAACAAGCTTTCGACAGTGCCAAAACGAACACGATGCTCGCACCATTGGTTCAACCAAGCAGAATAGCCGTCTCTACAAGAACACTAGCCAAATCCGTTGTTGATGTTAGAGAAGTGGAGCTGCCCTGTATGAAATCACGACAACTGTCACCACCTACATATGCTGTGCAGTTGTGTGACTATTCCAGCGACCTCTCAGCACCCCATGGAACGGGGATCAGGGCAGAACATCACCATATCGTCGAAATTACTCGCCAGTGCTGGATTGTGAAGTCGCTCAATCGGTGGGCGAAGTGTATGTTAGTATAGACGCTTTTCCCAAACAACATACAACTCGTCCAACGAGCGTCTTCCTCCATTGCTAAGTGGCGAGGGGGAGTCCCTGTCTAAGTCCCTGTTCGACGTCTTTTTTTTACTTTTCTTTCATTATTGGTCAACTTTCACCCACAACTTCATTATCGGTGGTTTTTGCCCGCGAATTCGTTCTTGGACTGTTGCTTTAAGCATTGTAGTTGACATCACATGCTAACTGGCAGTTGAGAGCTTTAGTGTTTCGGGCGAAATCCGACCGGGCTCCTCCTCATTGTCCCAATCGACGCCTATTTAACATTCGTACACTCCTCGAACTGTGAAACCTGGACTCTCATTGAAGTTGATATCAGATTTGTGAGCCGAAACTGATAACCTTTTCCACATATTGTGCAACGATAGGCCCTTCGTAACGCAAAAGCTGTTTGAATTGTTTCCACGACACCGCAAGCACTTTATTATCATTTCGAACTTTCAATGACTTGTACTTCAAACCCGTTTTCCAAATAATAACTACCTAAAATACTTCTTGAAGGTTTTGCGACTCTGTCGTGATGGCATTCTGGGAGAACCTTATGGTCATTGATGCAACGAAACCGCTCCATAACAAGCAATTGTGACGAGAAGGAACCGCAGCTGTTATGGTCAGCGATGGATTTTTTCTCAGCCGTACTACTCATGGTTTTGTCTTGGTTTATTGAGCTTGTGTTGGACACTATAACTGTTATAGGCACCTCAAACGACGACAACGCAATTTTTGTCCTCCATTCAATGAGGTGGAGGAAACGTTGGATCAACACTCTTCTTCAAAGACAGTGGTCACGATGGCTGGAAGGTACTGCGCTATTGATGACGTCGTTGGTAAACTAGACCCTTCAGCGTGCTACTTGGTGGGATTGGAACCGCCTTACGCCCTTCCGCCTATGACATTCAATGACGTCATCAAAACCGCGCGGTACTGCGCAACCATTGTAATCATTGCCTTCAAAGACGAGAAATCTGAAAAACTTGGTGTTCGCATGGAGAGCTATTTTTGAGAACTTCTTAAGAAATTGATTCGCTTTTTATTGGTAACGATGTCGCTCTCCGAACCGAACATTTTTTCTGAATTTATTATGACTGCAAATATCTTTGTGTTTACTATTGTTATAAACTATTAGCGTGTATCAGAAACTCGCAGACATCAGCCATTTCACATATGAGCATGTGAAAATACGCAACGAACAATAGAAACTTCGAAGTGTACCATTACATGTCGCTGTTTGTTCAAGCGCAAGAACGGCTTTGAATTGGCACAAATTCCACGGAGCTTCAGTCCGTCAAAAACTCGACACAGTCACAAGTCCGCACAAACACATAGATCGTGAATCCACCATACCGGAAAAAATAAATAAAAATGAAGATGGAAGTTTTCGAAAAATGAAACGAGGCACAGAAAGAAGTGTCCTCTCATCAGGAAAAGAAATAAGGATTGGGTCTCGCTTTCGCTTCCACTTTTTGCGCGCAGACCAGCCCAGCTCACACACCGTCTGCGCTCGGGATCTTTCACATTTCCAGATGCACCCCCCTCCCTCTGCATTTCCACGTGAAAAATTAATAGTGATCACCTATGCGTGAAATCAGTACTCATACCGTAGTGACGTCTACGACCCAATCAGTTTGAGTTCAGTTCTGAGCTTCAGCAGACATGAACATTGTCGCAAGTATTGGAGAACATAAAAACCTGGTATCGTGATTATGAAGTTTCACCCTGCTCGTGTCCCTTCAAACGAGAACGCGTTCCTGAGACTGCTTTCACACTTCAGCCATTTTCTTAAAGGCGGATTTTACGATGAAAAGGCAGCCTATTGGAAATTAAGTTAATGATAGTCAGTGATGCATGAAAGAAGAAAAAACGAGAAAATGGTCTAGAACCCGAGAAATGGGACCCGTTGATTTTCGTGTTGATGTGGAAGGGCTAGAGACTCAGGCGTAAGAAAATGTGAGAGGTGGGCGTTCCGGGCAGTATGGCCCCAGGAAAGGCCATGCTAATCGCCGAGGGTGTATTCTTTGATGCGAATAGCGTGTCGGTCCGCACCCATAGGACGATGTCAGACTTTGCGTATCGAGCGATTCTCTAGCGTCCGCGGTCGCGCTGCAGCCAGCGAATCGCTCGATTTCGCTAAGTCTGATTCGCCTCTCTCTCCACTAAGCAAGTTTCTTCTTTTTCAACTTACGCTGTTATCAATGAATCCTCCTTTACTTTGGAATCGTAATGATTTCGCGCGGAAGAGGGTGACATCAGTTTTTCATGTGGATGTTTTGGTGTGGAGTAGCTCCGGCTTTGAAAGCAACCCAAGGCCGGCGGTTGATTCCAAATAATGATTTTGTCGAATGTGAAAAGTAATCATATTTCCGGAGTGGGTCTCATTTTAAAGCAGTGGTACCTCGCGAGAGGTCTCATCTCCAGCTCTAACCATGGCTTCGGCCAACAAAGTAGGACGTTTTTGGGTTGCTGTTCAAGCCTTAGTTGAAGCACAATACCATTTGTAATTCGGATTCACATTAGCTTGCATAACCTTTTTGGGTGATTTTTGTTATTCCAGTTTCCACCAGAAAGAGAAAAAAATATCAGAAGAAAGCAGGGGTGAGTCCTCCAGGAAAATTTTAGCCAAGTTTCACGGACCAATTGAACAGTTATCATCACCTGTCGTCAACGAAAAGAAGAAAGCCCACCTCTGCTTCTTTGCTTTCATAAAAGCCGACGGTCCCTGACAATAGATGACTGTGGAAGTTGCGACAGCATCATATGCACAGGAAGACACTTCCCTAAAACTGTCGGCCTTTTCAATCACTTCATTAGAAATAAACTAAAATGAGTCATAGCGTTTGAAAAGATGAGGCCGTTCATAGTTCGCGACTCCGGAGATTAGGATAGTACGCGACAATGAAAAACATATGTATTGACGGGGAGATTAGGATAGTAGTAGAGTAGGAGATTGCGCTGACAAGATTAGATACGTATCGATTGAAATCGCTGGAGAGTAGTAGATTGCGATATTACGATAGTAGGATAGTAGTAGAGTAGGAGATTAGGATAGTAGTAGATTAGGATAGTGCGTGCGCTGACAAGACTATATGAGTATACTAATTCTATCGATCAATAGTGCGGTGACCAGATCTAAATACGTATTGATCGAATGCGCTGAGAACGCCTATCTACCACTCCTCACATCGATACTTTCAATCGCATCATTCAACTCATCTAATCTTGCCAGCTTCGCAAACCCGTACTCTACTAGTCTGGTGCCCGTATTTTGATCGCCTTACTATCTTCCTAATCTCCGAGTCGCGACTATGGAACGGACGGTCCTAATTGTATTTGCTTGTTTGAGTGAAGGCCTGGTTGTCCTTATGACAGTCTTGATTATCATGAGAGAAAGACGAGCGCTGAGCTCGTGCTCATTTCCGTCCTTGGGGAGGGGGGGGCGGGGGGCCGGGGAGGAAGTAAATCCCAACTGAGTGAGCCACAAACTGATGCTTCGGGATTTTGCTACTAAGAAAGGTAAGGATCACTGGGAGCAATTGGCGCAATTCGTGCGATCTCCTTTGCGCGTTCCCTCCCTACGCTGAGCTTCGCGCATCTCACATACGCCGTCGGCCTTGCTTCGATGCCCCCCTCCCCTGTTGAAGGACAATGCGCGTAAACTATCGAAGAAACGCTCTTCCAAGACGGTTTAGTCATAAAAAAATCGACGATTGGTGAAGGATGCGCCAATCACAGAAATGTGAGATACGACATAAGGGGATCGTTTTTGTGAGGTATACATACGAAAGTGTACATCGTTCAATCATGTCCAAGTCCGCGCAGCGCGTGGAAAGATGAAAATCGATGCCGGTGCCACAAAAATATTACGACAGAAATGGCTCATACGCCATTCTCAAAATTGTACCAGCGATTCATAGATTATGTGGATTAAACTGCAATCTGCACCCGCTCCAAAAAAACCTAATTTCCAACCCAAATAGTGAAAGCATCAAATGCGATTCAGTTAAGCGCACAAATGATCGCCTACGGTAAATTGAGTGAAAAGAGAAACAGTTCTGAAGGCACATGGGCAGCAGCCATCGGACCTGTTTTGGAGATCGCTCCTTCTGTTCTGGGCCTGAGGTTTTTTTAAACCCAATCAGCGTCCAACACTACATAGAAGTGGAAGTTCAATAAGGCTCGCGTGGCTCGGGAAGATTTGACAGCGGTCTGATCGCGGACGGTGTGTGCGAATAACTGAGGGGCCACTTCGCTCGTATCATTCCATTCACATCACGGATCACGTCCCCGTTTTGAGAAGTCTAGATTTTCCTTCAACAACTGCGTTTCAAGTGGCCAACTCTGCGTGTTCCATTGCACGGATGGTTGGCAACTACATTTATATTGCCTTTCGAAAAAGACAAACGCCTTCGAGGTACCATGTAAAACTGAGGGCGGCAGTGGAGTAGTGGCAAGTGGTAGCAAGTTCCTTCTGTTCTGAGCCTCCTCCAGTGAAATACGCCAGCCACAGCGCTGCCTGCATCCCACACAGCCGGTGTTCCCGTTTCTCCCTTGCTAACTCATGTGATTCGCCCCATATAAACATCACCACGTGAAGTCGCTCATTACACCTGGAGAGTTTTCTAAGACTTGAAAGTTGGAATTGAGTTACGCAGTACAGAAGAGCGTAACGTCTCATGTCAATTGAAACCTTGGGAGCCGACTTCAAGAAAATCTAGGGTGCTATTTCATTATTACAACCCCATTTGGGTTGAGATGACAAAGAATTCTTCGTTGAACTTTCCCACTTTTTGGTGGGTTCCTGGTTACGAATATGTCATTTATTTCTGGTGCTAGCGCTGCAATTTGGCACCACGGCAGCTTTCATCAGGTTCGGTGAAACTTATCTCTAAGGATTATTTTGTGCCTTGATTCTATATTACAGTTATTTTTGGCGCTGATAGTACTTAGCACTTTTTTCTACTCGTCTGCGCCCTCTCACTGATCAGACTGCACTAGGCGTACGCCTCGAGGAAGAGGGCTCCGGCATGTGAGCCACTTACCGTGGGGTAAGCTTTCGAGCACTTTGAAATCACAGAATGGGTAACTTACCTATAGCCCATCCTCTTTAAGACTTATGCCTTGGCGCAATGCCATCAGCGAGAACGAGAAAACGAGCAGAAGAACCGCGCGAAATGCTGTTAGTGCCAAGACTGAACGTCATCATCGTGATCAATGATTCTCGCAGGAAAAGATTCAACGAAAAAATATTTGCTCAGTCCTACCCAAAGTAGGGTTGAAAAAGAGTAATAATGTCAAATATACAGGGGTGGCCAAAAAAAAAGAGACACTTTGCCCATGGCGCACTTCATCGAAACTTTTCGTCGCACAGAGTGCCGATGTTTAGTGAAAGCTTCTACGGCGTAATACTCCATAGGTGTTCCCCCCGTAAGCAGAAGCAGCCCCTCCTTCGCTGTCCCCGCCGTCTCCAGAATATGACGTCATCTACCGCCACCGTCGAGCTCAACGAGGCTTACCGTAATCGCTCCGGCCTGAAGCTGCTTCACGATTTCTTCAATGGATTGACGATTGAATAGCTTCCCAGAGACATTA